ATACGTGCCTTGAATTCTTGCTCACCTTTCCATTGGCAAACAGCTGCCAGGACTGCATCCCCTGGGATAGCCAAAGAGTACAGCCAGTTTGATGAGCTTAACCAGCCATTGGATGTCACTTTGGCTCCACACTAATTCAAGGGAAACAGCATTTATCTGGCAGCCAGGCAGCCAGCTCTGCAGCAGCAGAGAGTTTAATTATCGAAGGTTCAAGCAGATTCTGCTCTCTTTATCTCCGACCAGCTGCTGGGTAGAAAAGACCTTTCTGCACTGCCCACGACTTTGTGCAACTCTTGCAAGTTCTCTTGCTCACGTGAAATGAGTCCAAGCCAGTTTGCCCTTTTCCTACAGCAGCTGCCGGCTGTTGCAAACAGAAAGTGAGAAGATGAAACGACAGGCAAGAAGAAGCCAGCCTGGAAGAGAAGAGGAAGCCCCAGTGGCAGGGACTTTCTCAGAGAAAGCAACAGCCAGGAATGAAAATATTGGGCTGATCTCAGCTGATGCTTCAGTACTACAGTGATGCATATATTAAAAATGGACAGAGAGAGAGACTTATTTAATATCTATATACAGCATCACTGACTTAAATCCAGTCCAGATAGGTTGTGCCTGAAAGTTGTCGCTGTCAGGTGGCAGATTGGTGGCCAACGTGAGATGAACTGGTGGCTCTTAGCCCAGTTCTCAGTGGAAAAGTGTCTGTAGCACACAAAGCATCACAGCTTGGCCCTCTTCCAGCAAGTCTCTCCAGGCAGCCCCTGGATTGAATGGCCCATGGAGACCAAGCCTCTCTTCTGAATCCTAGCATGCTCTCTTGCAAACAAGGCAAAGGCTCCTTGTCAGGACCAAGAGAAGCCTGCACTTGGAGCCGCATGTCCTGTTTATGTACTGTAGAGAAATGACAGTGGTCAGCAAATAGCCAGGGACTGCTCCAGAGAAATAAAGGCAAAAATGGTGGTAGACTTCCAGCGCCCATCCACAAACAAGCAACACTCACTTGAGATGCAAAAAACAGATGCCAGTCTCAGCAGAATGTGTAGATTTTGAAAATAGTAACCCACGTCTTGCTGGGTTCCCAAGAATAAATTCCCCCTATGACTCAAATACCCCTCTGAGTTTCATAGGGCTCCTCCTAATTGGTGTCCCTCTTCATAGGATGCAGATGGTCTTCTGGAGTCCTCTCTTCTGGCCTGTTGACTTTCAAGGTTAGAGTGGAAAAAAAATGCTGGTAATCTCTCAAACTCTGCTCACAACCCAAGCTCTGCCCGTGCATGAGATCAAAACGAGGTACCCCTTGCAATAGATTTTTTCATATCTCTGTCACATGAGCCCTCCTCTTCTTTCTGGACTGTTTTGATTGGCATTGAAATAGGTAATAATGTTACCAATTAAGGGTATGTCTACACTACCACCCTAGTACGAACTAGGGTGGTAATGTAGTCAACCGGAGTTGCAAATGAAGCCCGGGATTTGAATTTCCCGGGCTTCATTTGCATGTTGCCGGGCGCCGCCATTTTTAAATGTCCGCTAGTTCGGACTCCGTGCCCCGCGGCTACACGCGGCACGAACTAGGTAGTTCAGACTAGGCTTCCTATTCCGAACTACTGTTACTCCTCGTGGAACGTGCCGCGTGTAGTTCGTGCCACGTGTAGCCGCGGGGCACGGAGTCCAAACTAGCGGACATTTAAAAATGGCGGCGCCCGGCAACATGCAAATGAAGCCCGGGAAATTCAAATCCCGGGCTTCATTTGCAACTCCGGTTCACTACATTACCACCCTAGTTCGAACTAGGGTGGTAGTGTAGACATACCCTCAACTATAATCACTGGACTTCAGAGTCAATATGCCAGCAATACAAACAAGGAAGTCTGCATTGCTCTCAGAGCTACAGCTTCAGGCTCTCTGCAAACTCAGGTACACATCATTTCTTTGGTTACGCTCATGTCAGATTTCTCTCTTCAGATATAAAAGGTAGAGATTTGAATTTTTTTCCCAAAGGAAAACTTAAATTCTGGAGCACACAATCACTGCCTCCAATAATGGACCATCTTCCTGAATCACTGTGAACAAGCCCACTTCAGCCCTTACTTGTTTCTCAGTAATGCCTGCTCTGTAGCTGAATGATCAGTGAGGAGTACTGTTACTGTATGGAAGCCTGGCAAAGTTTAAGGACCCCTGTTAATTCTCCCTATTCCCCAAACCACTTCTATGGAAGACTGGACATTCCTTCCCCACAGAAACTTTCTCCACTATTGTCAGTCAAAGCCAAAGGAGGTCACTGCAGTGACAAGAAATCTTTTCAAGGAACTGGACCAAGTACACCATCAGTAGTTCCCAGGTATTTGCACATGGCCCCTTTAAGAGCAAATCCTCTCTATGTTCCTGTGTGCAGGAACTGGTTCTGAGAAGAAGCGGTGACCAGATGTGCAGAGTGCAGGGCTATGTCTACACTCGCGGCTTCTTGCACTAGTAATATGCAAATGAGGCTAAGCGTGGAATATCGCTGAGCCTCATTTGCATATCTAATGAGCCACCGTTTTTTTCAGAAGAGGCTCTTGCACAAGAAGGAGCGTCTACACTGCCCCTTCTTGCGCAAGAAAAACCCTCTTGCGCAATGTCATTACACCTATTACTTTTCGGGAAGAACGGTATTGCACAAGAGGGTTTTTCTTGCGCAAGAAGGGGCAGTGTAGACGCTCCTTCTTGTGCAAGAGCCTCTTCTGAAAAAAACGGTGGCTCATTAGATATGCACCAGGGGCACAGTAGCAGAGACCTGGAAGCTCAGTGCCTCCTACTGAGGCAGACCCTGAATTGCCCCAGAACCCTTCTAGAAGCCATCACTGGCTAACGAGGAACATTATTAGAATGCATGGCCCATTACCAGCTTGGCAGCCTTTGTACCCTTTGCAGCTTCCAGCCCCTGTTTGGCCAGGAAGTGTAAGGTATCTAGATTGGCTCTGGAAGCCACATTATCCAGTGCAATCGGATGGAAACAAAAGCACTCACCTGGATGCATTGGTTGATGCAGCACCCATAGAACTGTGTGCAAATATGAACAATCTCACCCCTTGGCATCATTACTACCACCACTTCCAGTGAACTCTGGATACACACTGCCTGTGGCTCCAGCTTGATGAGGAACAGATGCTGGAAAATCAGGGCAGATGCCCTAGAGGAGGTCAGATTCAAGCCTTGATCTTGGGTCCCCAGAAGCAGTGTACCAAGGCTGTCAGCAGGCAGCTGGGCTAGTCTGGCTGGTTTTAGTTTTTGTCAACAAATGAACAAAAGTGCTTATTTAATGCTGTCTCTCTGGGGTTCTCCCAGCTCCCTTATCTCCAGACCTGTCAGTTTAGTCACAGCATTTCCAATGGCATCCTGATTAGGCCAGTTTCCCCTCTTCTCTCCCCCATGGCTATCACTTTCATTAACAGCGAGGGGGTGATAATGGGGAAGGATGATCAAAGCTGATGGTATTAGCACAGGGGATTAACCGTATTTATATTTCTGATCAAGTGCACTCTGTGTGGAGAGGGGACTGCTTCAATCAGCCATCTCTGGCTGAGAGTTACTGCAGCGCTGCTGCTGCCTCAATAGCTTCTTGCTATTCAGCTGTGGCTCCGACTCTAGGAAACAAGTGCAGCCAGTTGGCTAGCCCAGTTGCTCATTGGCCAAGACAGATGTTCTATCAGCTAGATACAGTCTAGGAACTGAAAAATCCTTGCTTCTAACTCTGACCCTAGGTTACAGGCCTGAGTCAATGGAAGGTGAGTTATCTGTAGAGTCCTGCAAAAATCCGTGGCTATCTGCTTTCTATCCATGTGTATCTGCATCCGTGGATATGGATCGGGATATCCACAGCTCATTTTTATGGATGAGGATGCAAATTTTGTCTCTAAAACCCTGCCAATGTGTGGTTTTCCGCTTTATATCCGTGGGCATCCACATCCACAGATGTGGATGCAGGTAACCGCAGATCGTTTTTGCAGATGCAGATACCAACGTTGCATCCACGCAGGGCTCTCGTTATCTGTAGGCAGCAGAAGAAATAGCCTCTCTCAATTCTGCGCAGGGATTTTGCAGCATTCAAAGCTGGGGCAGCCTGGGAAAAATCCATCCCAGGTTTTACACATAGGACAGGAGGCTTTCATTCTGTGCAGACATCCGAAGAGAATAAATGTGTTTAATAAAGCCATGAGGTGCAGCGTATTGATTCAGCCTGGTACCCATCAGCAGGCTGAGCTTGGCTTGGGAGGGACAGACAGGGAAGAGGGAACAGTTTACTTTGGTCACTTATAGCCCCACATCAAACACTCAGCTGATTGAGAAACAGAGGTGTCACGTACTAGGGGCTGAAAACCACTATATTAGGGAGCTGCAAAGGGGCAATGACTTCTAGCACAGGATTTATTAGTGAGTGGGGGGTTGGTGTGGCACAGTCTTTTGTGACACTGATGTGCTTCCAGCACAATAGTAAGTGTGGAGAGGGTAAAATCCCACAAGGAGCAACTTTAAGGGGTGTCGGGGACAGTATCTATGGCTATTCACCATGGAGCAGCATTGGGCTAGGTCACAAAATTGCATCTCAGTAAAACACACAGAGGTGCTTGCAGAAGCTGGGGAAAAACTTATCACAACCTTTTCCACCCATTTATCAAAGTGCCCGCAGTCCCCCTTGAAAGCGGGTGACACAACAATCAATGTGGAGCCAAGGAAGTTAATCCGTATCCAGAACATTTTAATAAATAAAAACTTTGCAAAACAAAAAAATCAATGTGTCCCCATTGGCTCTAAGCTTTTCTAACAGTCTTAACTCTGTTTGACTAGTAATAAAAGTTTCTGATGGGTTTAGTTTGCAGCACTGAGCCTTGTACCACATGGACCACAAAACGCTCATAGAAAGGGAATTTCTGAGACCTGCCATGAACTCCTCTTATTAATTATTATTATTATACAATAAGGAACCTTAAACAAAGCCCTGTTTATTTGCGTGTAATTTAAGGTCATTGCTTCCTTTGTGGAGAGTCAGAATGATCTGCAATCGGCTGCATATTAACAATTGCTTTTTCCCTTGTGGTGCATCTCTCTCTCCTTCTCCTCTGTGCAATATGATGTCGTAAGGGCTTATTTATATCATCATAATCGGTTGCCATGGAGATGATCATAATGTCACAAGTGCAGGACAGGGAGCTGTGGATGGAGAGAGAGTAGCAAAGGGTTGCAGAAGTGTGGACTCCTGCTTAAATGCATGTTTGCACCAATACATTTGCACAGCTGCATACACATGCCGTAAATCATACATACCTGTGCACCATAGGCACACCTATTCACACCCCACAAACGCAGTAATATGTGCACACACATCCACATGCATACACATTGATGCTCACACACAGACATACTCCTGTATGCACATAGGGCACACATTCTGTACATGCTTACAACAGGCAGGCAATAGTGATGCCTCTGCTGAGGTCTCCAGGGATGGCAGACACCCCCAGGCTCACAGCTCCCCATTTTCTATGGATGCACGAGAGCAGATGCTACCTTTCCTCCTTCCCATCTGGGTAGGCTTCCATGCACCAGGCCTGCAGACTCCTACCCAGGGCACAACGCACATCAGCTACAGTACAGTGGGCCCTGTCCTGCAAGGCAGTAGACCTTCTCATTGACCAATTTCCTAGCATGCCTTTGTCACACGTGGATCATAGATCTGGACCATTGGGGCCTGTTTGTATGTAACGTGGGGCAAATAGCAGGGGATGGCAGGCATTTCTGCTGGACTCCCACATATGTCTGCTCTCAGTTAAATCACTAACATAGTCATCTCTCTTCAGATACCGCTGAAGATGTGGGAGAACTGATTGCTCCAGAGGCTCAGTAATGGGTATGCAGCCTTTCACCCCGAGTAGGGCCCTCAAAGATGCTGGGTCAGTGTCCACTGCCCGTTGTTACCGTCTGGCGGGCTGTTCAGTAACCAGCATGAGATGAGAAGCTGGTCTCAGTCCAGTGGAGGAGGGTCGCTGTCCTGAGTGGCAGTCTCAGCAGGGGCCCAAGGAAGTGGTTCGGCCTAGGAGACAGAACGCAGCCAGACAGCTCAACCTCCCAGGACACGTTGGGAAGCCAACCCGGGGAGAGGCTGCCAGTGTGGAACTTGGCACCAGACCCCATTCAGCAATGAACAGGGAGTCGGGATGTAAAAAGGCAGTTAAATAGGGAACCGCGAATATAATGGAAAATCTCAGCGGTTACACGCACTGCTGGCTCTGCAGTGTAAATCTTAAATGAGCTTTATTCTGCAGAGCCCACAGAGAAGCCTCCCCGGGAGTGGGGCTGGCAGGGGCTGCCGGCTCTGCTCCCAGAGAGGAGGCTTCCTGGGGAGTGGAACCGGCAAGAGCTGGCAGCCCCATTCCAGGGGAGGAGGTTTTGATGCCACAGCAAGGTCAATTCCCTGGGTGCAGAGCTGGCAAGAGCTGCTGGCCCCGCTCCCAGGGTGCCAGCGTGTAACCTGCAGTGTGGGGGTCAGGCCAGACCCGCCACAGACACGTTGCTCACTCCGGACAGCCAAAGCAACCCCTACCCGGAGGGGGCCCTGTGGGGCTGGTGCAGCCCTCTGCCCAGGGCGGGTGGGGAGCTGCTCCAGCCTCTGCATTAACCTGGGATGTTTAGAGTGATGCTTACCAATTAGCCGATTAACTGGTTAATCTTTCACATCCCTGATACAGAGTGGTTTGATCTCCAGGTCTGACTGGGGTGGGATGCAGGGAAGACTGAGAACAGGAGTGTGCAGTTAGCTTGTACTCTTGAGTGGCTGGGAGTGCTGTCAGACCTGCTGTGTGGTCCAAATAAATGTGTTACCTCTCTGTGTATATCATTCAAATGTAGGTATGCATAGGAGAGATCACAGAATGCACTGTAATTCATTAATGAAATTAACCAGGCGTCTTTTACCATCATGAAATTTCTTATGGATGTAAATCATCATCCAAATCATAATATACACAAAGTAATGGATTAAAGAAACCAGTAGAATTTTTTTTTAATGTGACCAAAGTGCAGGAAGAAAAACAATTGTATTTAAGGTGAAGATCGCTTGTATTGTTAATAAATATTGAAGGGACTCCAAGCTTTTCACATTACCACTGTGTGATATGACAGCATATAATGGATTTCTCAACTGCCCAAAGCCATTGCAGACATAAATTCTTTTTAATATTCATGTGCGGTCTTTGAGAAAATAGATGTAAGCAGTTAATACTTTTCTATAGACAAAACAATGCAGTTTGTCAACACCAAATGTGTGTGTGACACAAAGAATCACAAAGCTCTTGGGCTTGCTCTTTGCAGTAATCAGAGAAGAGGAAGAATTCCCACCAATCAGAATGAGAGGCCTAGAGTGGAGGAGGAACTGTAGATGGGTGGGGTTTCGAGAATGGAACAAGTTTTTTACCAGACTGTGCTTTTGTTTTGATAAGCAGAGCACTGATTTAGTGAGAAGTGTGCTTGTGGCAAAAGGAACTCTGGGTTCCTTTATAAACCTGTCACCAAGGCACCAGGAATGTATGGGGTACACAGCAAAAACAAGTTGCTCATTAAAGAATTTTAGTGCTCTTCAAGGTGGAAGGAAGCTTGCCCTATGGCTTTGGAGAGGAAAAGCTGTAGTGCAGGGGGAAGGAGGGAGAAGGATACCCAGACCTACTTCAGCAAAAATGGGTTTCTGTTAAGGGAACTGGATGTCCTGATAGCATAGGGATAGTCCTGAGATTCGGGGCTTTTTCTCATAAAAGTGCCTAGTGACAGGTTATCCCCCCCCCCCCCCTCCAAGTTGCCACCTGATACACTGGGATTCACTAAGCCCACCTGTTCCACCAGGCTGGGCTCCCTCATCTGTCCTGCCAAACCAGACCCTCCGGCCTTCTCCAGCACACACATAGCTAGGGACACACAACTGCAGAAAGACAAAGACACGGAAATCAGTACTGCATGGGAAGGCTTTCCACTAAGGAATTGTCTAGCATTCAAGTGCATACCCATACAGGGGTACATATCCCGACATTTCATTGTCTTACGGTGCCCCGAGATCTGCATAGCACAAACCAGTGGTGGGTAACAAGTGGCCTGCAGGCCAGAAGTCTTTCACCAGTTAGACCCTAGTGGGCTACCAGCACTTTATTTACCTGTGCCTCTGCAGGTAAAGCTGCTTGAACCTCTCATTGGCTGAGGATCACCATTCCGAGCCAATGGGAACTGCATGAAGCAGCACAGCCTGGGACACTGCTTCCCGCAACTCCCATTGGCCAGGAAGAGCAATCCATGGCAAACAGGAGCCGTAAGCGGCCATACCTACAGAGCTGAAGTAAGCAAAGCACAGTGACCAACCAGGGGTAACCCTGAAAAGTCACGTCTGGCTTATTGTCCATTCCTGGCCTCAACTCATGGAAGTTCACCTCCTCCCTCAATGTGGAGAAAGACATGCACAGCTTTTTGGGGCCCTCCTCCCCCATTATGAGTTATACCGAATAGGTTTGGTGAAAACAAAATAAGTTTATTAACTATAAAAGATAGATTATAAATAAACACAAGAGATAGCAAACAGATTGACAGATCATTGAGCAAATCAAACAAACACTCAAACTAAGCTTAATACACTATAGAAACTGGCTACAGGTAGTAATTTCTCACCCTAAATGTTGTTTGAAGCACTACTTTCACAGACCTTTTCCATCTTCAGTTCTTTTGTCCCCAGTTCAGTTTTAGGTGTTTAGAACAGTCATCTTGGGTGGAGATTTAGTGAAGAAAAAACCAACAACCTTGGATATCTCACTCCCCAGCCTTAAATAGGATTTGCATATGGTGGGAATCTTTTGTTTCCCAGCTTGATCCCCACCCAAAGGTGAAAGTAAGCCAGTGTGTCCCACTGGTACAAGAGTGGCCAGCTGGGGGGTGGGGCGCTAGATCAGTGGTGGGCAACCTGTGACTACATGTGGCCTACAAGATGTGTTGCTTACCATTACCCACATGCAGGGTTGGCAGATTCCACGGGTTTCAATCATGTAGTTCTTTTCCTGCTGGTATTACTAAAAAGACACGCACATAAAGCAAGGGCACATGAAGTGAGGTGCATGCCGACTGTACATGATATTGACTAACAGAGTCATGCACTCGCTCTGCATCCAATCAAAGCACTGCTCCAGTTCGATCAGCACATTCCACAAATTCTAGGTACACAAGCACAGTTAGCAGAACTACCCTATCCCAGGAGACTGTCTTGGTTAGGACAATCTGGCAACCCACTGAGATGAAGTAGGGCCATGCATGTGGCCCACTCACTAGCCTAGATTGCCCATCGCTGCTCTAGATGCTGTCAGCCACCGTACACAGGTACGGTTCCTATGCCAGTGCTGGGCATGGGTGGCCTACCTTTCCGCTTCTGCTCCCTCCACCACCGAAGCTCAAACCACCACCACCCTTGACCCCCAGCCCCAGCACTGGTTAGCTGTGGAGAGAAGATCAAGTGGGCACCCACAGCCCCCAGGTTGGCATGGCCACAGCACACCAAGTTGCTCAGGCAGCTGGGCAGCACAGTGGTCGCCCACACCAGCACCGATGCTTGGGCAGCTGGGTAGTGCAGTTGCTGCCCCCACCAACTCTGGTACTTAGGCGGCCAGCCCTGGAATCTGGTGGCCAGGCAGTGCGGTGGCCACAGCCTCCGCCCTGAGTCCCTCCAACCCTCTGCCCTGAGCTCCCCACACCTTCTTCTCTGACTCCTGCACCTCCTTCCCCTGCCCTAAGCCCCCCACACCCACAACTCCTGCTCTGACTCCTGAGGCTCCCCACAACCCAGCTCCCTGCCGGAACTCACACACCCACATCCACCTCAACCCACTGCACTGAGTCCCCCACATTCCATCCCACACTTATAGGTACTCTCATTTTACAACCACTCCTACCCCAACTCCCTGCCCTGTGCCCACTAAGGGGAGGGCTGAGATACGACAGTACTATACAAAATTTAAGTTACTTTCACCTATGCCCCCAACTAGTAGAAAAATACTAGCAGTCCATGACAGTGTTCAGTACCAGGTGACAATATGACATGACCCTGCAATATGAAAGCAGTCAGGAGTTAGAGGTTGCTTGTAGCATCCTAAGAACCTTCTCAGGAAGGTGGGAGATTAGCTGCTTCAAACTCCTATTGTTCCCCATAATGGTTCATTAACTAACCCGCTAGACTGAATGTATTTTGTCTGGTGGGAGTTCCCCAGGTGTAAACATTTTTGTAATTGATACATAGTCAATATTTCTAACTTCAGATACAGAAATATACAAATAGGGTAATCTCATTCAGTAAATCACACCCTTTCTAATGATAACTTAGTTGGCCCATCTTGCATAAACCACATCTTAGGTATGCCAAAATTATAACAATATTTTTATGAAAAATAGTACCACAACCCCCACCCCCATCCCAATTTTTTACACTTGCTATCTGGTCACCCTAATTTCAGTATAGGGGGACTGTCTGCTGAAACTGCAATATTATTGCTTCCTATTTACAGTGCAGAGAACTCAGTCAAGATCAGGGCCCCATTGGACTGGATGCTGTAAAAATACACGCAAAGGCAAAAAACCCGAGCCTCAAGGAGCTTACATTCTGAGATGACAAGTGCCAGATGGTGAGGAGTCCCAGCACTGAAGTGCTCCATCCGCACCAGCACTGCCTGAGAGGACAATAGTCTTGGCAAGTTGACTGCCCATATCAAAAGTTACAGCCCCTCCACATTCTGATTATAGAGGTGCTATCACTGGGCCTGTGCCATGAAACCTCTTGGTGGGCAAAAACTGGGAAACCCCACTGCACAGCATGTGCAAGAAAAGCAACCTGACATCCCCTAGTCCCTATCAGCTGCAAAAGAAAGGACATTAGAGAGCCAGCAGCAGTCACTGAAGGGCAGTGAATGCCACGAAATACATGAGCAAGAAGAGTGCCCAGCCCTCTGACGGCTATTCTGTTCCCAGCACTCAGCTCTGTGCTCCTGTTTCCCCTTTTATAGCTGCTCTGTTACACCTGCAGGGGTTTTCTCTCTCTTTTTTACAGAGGAACAAGGGAAGCAGCAGCGTGAACAATCCTTGTTCCTTTGTGTGAGGTGTTTAAATGTAACACACAGTTGGAAAAAAAAATAAAGCTAAGAGAAACAGGGAACACAGTTTAACTCTCAAAACCCGGGGTGGGGAGAAGGCTGGAGCATGGGGGAGGGAGGCTCAGGCAGTGCACCGCTCCTGTCTTCCCCCATCTGGCTGGAGCACGCTTACTTGAGGGACCATGGGGAGGGGTGCGCTTGCACTCTTGCAGTCCACATTTACCAAAAAAGCAAATCCCACATCAATTCCTGTGTATGGGCCTGCGGTGCATCTCCAACTGCAAGAGATAGAATATGGAATTTCCCTAACCCTCCTCTCACCATAAGCATTATTTACAAGCTTAAATGCAAGCATCAGAAGAAATCCAGGACTCTCACTGGTTCATGTTGCTGTGATGTCTGTGGTTGTGTAGCTGGCCTAATGACTTGCTTGGCACATACGGTGCCTCTGAAAATGGACAGGCAAAAGCCATACACACGGATGCCTTTCAGAGACCTTTTCTGAGCAGCGGGCTAAGACAACACTGCACCTGACTCAGATCAGGATAGACAAGGTCTATCCTCAAGAGACTCCACTGACTTTGATCCAAACCAAAATACAGGGAAGAGATGGACACTACTCTGAATTTCATAGTTCACCCAAGCCCGAGCCTGCAAATGTGTTGCAAAGGTGCTTAACATCCCTCTTTTTGAGTGGGACTACTCATGTGAATAAGGATTCATGCATGCATAAGTTGCTACGAGATCAGATCTTAGTTTGAACCATCCATAGTACACCTGATATGCTCTGATTCTGGCAGGTCTGGATCCCTATAGCTAAAGGATGCAAAGGGAAAATCCTAAATGTCCCCATCTAACTAATTTTTGTGACTAGCAAAGTGGAGAAAAAAATTATTTACTTGCTGTGTGTTTGCATGTGTGCTAGGAGCCCCAGTTATCAACTAGGACTCCACCATGCCAGGTGATGTACAAGCAGAACAAAAGCTTGGGCCCAGCCCTGAAAAGCTTAGACAATAAAAACAACTGGGTTGGGAGAGGAAAGATGGTCAGGGGCACAAGCTTTGGGGCTTGGAGCTCTGGGTTCTCTGCTCTGCTTTAAGGTTATGATGTCACTTGGAACAAGGCAATTAATCCACCTGCCTCAGTTTCCCATCTGTAAAATGGGGGTAATGGCACTTGGCTTTCTTGTGAGGATAAATACACTAAATAATGTGCAGCACTTTGAGATCTTCTGATAAAAAGTGCTAAGAGCTGGGTGTCATGGTATTCTACTTAGAATCACTTTCTGTGTCTTCGCTAACCAAGGAAGTTGGGTCAGTTAGGCTAACTCAGCCCAACTGAATGCTGCTAGCCAGATTCATACCAGCTGAGTATAAAGCAATTATGTTTAGGTTTCCAATGGTGCAGAAAGGATTTTAGTTTTTCTTAAAACATTTATGGAACTATTTCCATAAACACTACGTTTTGTAAATCTCTATTTTGTTTTCCTAACAAAAACCTTGTAGCCAAAATGTTGTCTGTATCCTTTTAAATACATGGTCGTTTTATACCATGTACTTAGCAGCACGAAAGTGGGTCAGTTATATAGGTCACATCCTTTTTTAAAATTGAATAGATTCAGGAGAAGGTTGGGTGCAGGTACAAGGAGAGAGATTTTCCTGCAGCAAAGCAGATGTGTCTTTCTTTGAAAGGAAAAGAAAAAGTTTCACCTTTTAATTGTTGTCATTGAGTGGCGCATCGACTGAGCAGTTTGTTCAATATCTCTTTTACCACTAAGATTTTCTAATCAAAGTCTTTTCCTTCCTCATCCCAGCTCACCAGCCTCTGCCATTGATCTGAAATTGGCAAGGAAAGAGGAAAACTGGCCCCTGGAAAAGAGAACACAATTAACACCCAACTGGCTCCAATTCATGGGTGTCTTTCAACATCTCGCACCTCTTTGGGTGTACGCACTCTTTCTTTTATTTTTCCTTTTGTGCTCCCAAGTTTTCTTTAAGAAAAGTCTTTGTCAGTAGCCCAGAGAGAAGATTAAAGCTTCCGTCAGAGGGAAACAGGTTGCTTTTGTGTCCGAGTCCTTAATCCACTTTATTAAAATGCTCCAAATCTTCTTCCAGAGAAGAGATCACAGGAAAGTTCCCCCGTCACCTCTGGCATACAATTCTTTGGATACCTGAATGTCATTAGAGGCTGCCAAAAATAAAATAAAAGGAAAGGGGGACTGGATGGCTCAGAAGGTTAGTAAAAATGGGCTACAGGGCCTTTCACGTCTATGTCCCTCACTCCAAGCTGGAAGTTGACTGAAGCAGTTACCACCTCAAAGTTGTTTGTGTCAATTGAGCTGGTGGGTATGTCTACACTAGAAAGACCACAGGAGCACAGCTGCAGGGCTGGAGCGAAGATACTTACTGCAGCTTACTTCTATCATGGTAGTAAATCCACCTCCATGAGAGATGGCAGCTTCTTCCATCAACCCAGTGCTCCCTCCATTGCGAATTAGATTGGCTTAACTATGTGGGGGGGGGGTTCACACCCCTGAGTTATGTAGCTTGGTCAACTTAAGACTCAGATGTAGACCAGCACCCAGTCTCCTTTAACATTGTGATTGAACATACACAGCCCTTGCCTCCACAGAGCAGGCCCCTCCTGAGCAGGCCTGAGGCTTAAAGAAGCTCTCACTCTCTAGGGCTGTCAGGCTGGTGCCTCTTTTGCCATCTCTTTGTGGAATGTGATTATGAAAAAAGAACCCAAGTAACAAAAAGGTGCACAATGCCTGTGGGGAAGAGCAGCAAACCCCTCCTGGAAAGAAATCCAGATCTGGATCCAGACCACACATTGGGTCTATCACTGTTTCAGATATTGGCCTGCAAATTGGATCTTTGCCCAGGGACAGTTAATATGATCCTGTTCTTCCCTCCTGGAGTCATATTCCTCTAACTGATTGCTGACATCACAAATGGTTACCACGGAGATGATGTGATGTCACACAGAGTCTTCTGGCCAAAGGTGGGCTAACGACGGGGAGGAGCAGATGGATTTTTGGATGATTCCTTTTTTATCATAATGTCTTCATGGAGAAAAAGTGAAGGGAGAGAAATGCCAAATAGTGGAGCTTGAGGTGACTCTGAACCAAAAGGCTGCCCAATTCTGGGGCAAATCACATCTGAGTTTCTCAGTTCAGGCCTCTCTGGCCCTCATTTTCAGGTCTGGTTGTTCTATGTTTGGTGCAGGACAAAGATAATTTTCTGCCACTTTTGCAATCTCCCATCACCTGAGGCTGGAAATAGCCCCATATGCAAGTTAGCAAAGTCTAAGGTAGCTTGAGCCAAGCGACCACCTCCACCCATCCTACTGCCTCCTCCTAACCACTTACCCAGCACAGCTTGTGCACTGGGGTCTTCCAGAGGGCTCCCCCACAACCAATGAAATGGCATGTTGGCCCCTTTTCTCACTGGAGTAGCATGGGACAGTGCCAACTACCTGGTCCAATGAGTTCTCCTGTCAAGAGGAAGTCTATTTGGCATTAATTGCAGATTATTTGGTATTATTTC